GCCAGTGCATATGCACTGGCAGTACGTACTGGTTCAGTACCCAACCCTACTATTTTTGGATATTCGTTCGTGTGAACCACACTGCTTGCTTTCTTTTATTTTTCTTAATATGACACAACGAGTCCATCTCTATCATTGNACGTACTGGTTCAGTACCCAACCCTACTATTTTTGGATATTCGTTCGTGTGAACCACACTGCTTGCTTTCTTTTATTTTTCTTAATATGACACAACGAGTCCATCTCTATCATTGCTAAGGGTACTTCTTATGTGTAATATCTGATCAGATTATTTTTGATCAATAATGATCTAGGTGTCACATCCGGCTTCTTATGACATGTAGATCATTATTGATCAAAAATAATCTGGCGAAAATGACACATAATAAGTAGCCTAAGAGTCAGAGATAGATTNTTATTTTTGATCAATAATGATCTAGGTGTCACATCCGGCTTCTTATGACATGTAGATCATTATTGATCAAAAATAATCTGGCGAAAATGACACATAATAAGTAGCCTAAGAGTCAGAGATAGATTTTAACAATGGAATCATAGCGTCAGAAAAAACTACCTGTATGTCTACGATTTCCCAGACATCATATAGGGACATCTCCCCTGCGGATTGCTTTTGAAATGAAAACATCGCGAACCATGCAAGAGAAACTCAGCGACCGACCACACCCTGTGATTCAGAGAGCGATAACGTGACAGGTTGAGTTGTTGTGTAGGGTTGTTGAATCCTAACGTCGCCCTCTATTTGTTGTCTGAGAAAAGGCATACATAGACGAATTCCCGTATTAGTCTAAAACAATTACTTCACCGGGAGGCGGGTGTGTGTTTGTGGTGTGGTGTGTGTGGGGGGGGGGGGTTATCCCGTCNACGAATTCCCGTATTAGTCTAAAACAATTACTTCACCGGGAGGCGGGTGTGTGTTTGTGGTGTGGTGTGTGTGGGGGGGGGGTGTTATCCCGTCTCTATGCAAGGTATGTGGGTGTGTTGTTGTGTCGAATACGGCGGGGTAGTGGGGAGTCCACCCGCCCGAAGCACTCATTCGCACGCTCGGTGCGCAAGCAGCCATATGCGATGGGAGTGAGTTTCATTGGTGTGCAGTTGTGTGGTGTCCAGCTTCTAGAATGAATTCTTATCCGGGTGGTTGATGCGTTCGTGGTGCCTGCCAGATATAAGACAAGCACATACGCATGTTATAATAGACAAGGAATAATACCCTGCAAACACAATTCCACACGCCATGTAACAGTAGTGATTACGGTCTGTTCGTGACTCTTCCCATCTACCACTTGATTGTGCGCCCACTCTGATTGGTCGAGCGTTGGTTTGTGCGGTCGACTTCTCTCAAGCGCCCTCTCCCTATTCGGCATTCCCAAAACGCAGCGCAAGACCTCCATGCAATCAACTACGTAATGCAGCTCTACCATGTGGACTTCGAAGAATGACGCTCGATATCGAGCACGAGAGACACTCCGGGCACACAACAATTATATGTGAACGTACTGTGGTACGTCATGTCTACCCGCACATAGAAAAAAATGGCTTCCACAGCATGGCAGTGCCGAACATCAGGGGCGGTGGACGATGCCCTCCCGTCCAACAAAATGTTAGGGGGAACGCGTGAGACAATCAAGTGCTCCCACAAAAAGGCACGCGTCGAAAATCTCAATTCGCCCACGTATCATACAACTCATGCAAAAGCCCCACACCAACTCAAATGCAACAAACACCTCTGTAATGAGATAGTTTCACATCCAGCGTGGAACCTCATCTCTAAGTTCTTGACTTGGTCGATCCTACAAGCTTGCGGCATCGCGAATATGCAACATCGTTCGATCCCATCGTTTATCGCTATACACCGTCTAACCCAGGAATTCAGAAAAGCTCAGCTCTAGGGCCTATCTACGACTCAAATGGATGCACTGAAAGAGTGCTGCTGCGTCTCAAGGCTGCAGAATGGTGAACCACACACGGCTTCTTCCAACTACATCATTCGTCATGAAAACGTGGCAAAACAAACCAATAAAAAAATCGATCTCTAGAAAAGGAACGGAATTGGGGAGCGGGAGTGGGTTCCAATGGGAGGCCTGACTACTGACAACAAGGCTATGCACAAACCGTGAGCGGCTCCGCACAAGTTAGGGACACGAAAAAGACTGCGGTATGCCCAAAAGACCGGCACTTCCCAAAGGCTGACAAACCCGCGGCAACTTCTCGACAGCATAAACAAAATTACAAGGATGCGCTCAGTACCCCGGCTATCCATACGACTCGTCGACGACGGCCTCAGATGAAGTACGAGTGGGCGCCCCCGAGCACATCGTCGAACGTGTCGAGCTGGTCCCGCGAGAATCGTGCCTTGTGGCTTTCCTCCCACTTGTCCTGGTGGGTGCGACGGAACTCCTTGAATGTGTGCGTCACCTGCACGTCGGGAAAAGGCACAGTGCAACCCGTCAAACGCACAGCGATGGTCCCGTTATTGCCCTGTGGCGACATCGTTTAAAGCTGGAACAAACATTCTCTTGGTACACGGTACACGCAGGGTCATGTGTCAAAAAATACAGGATGAATCTCAAACGCGAGTCCCAGCCTTGAGTGCAGTGGAACGAAAAAACTTGTTGAGCCACATTTCTAAACCATGCCACCGTTCGTGTTCATGAGTGTACGCCCGCATTGTGGTGTTTACTCCCGAGCTCCAATGCTTCGGAGCATTGCGTACGACCAAACCAACGCACAGATACGCGGTACACCCGCCAGGCGAAATCAAATCATGCTGCGTGGACTGCTCCCTTTGCTCACCGTCTGGCGCACAGGAAGTCTACCGGGAGATTCGTCGTTGACGTGTTTGGCGAGGCTCTCCAGAGCCCCAGGCACCCACGGCGGGGTGTCGCACGGAGCCGCCAGCACCACAGCCGACAATCCCAGCACATTCCTCTGCTGCTCTTGCATCACGCCCGACGGCTCCCCCGCGGTCACGACCACGCCACTGCCTCCCGCCGCGGCCTGGCGCTTCGCGACCCTTCTCCGCTTCTTCCTGCTGGCCGCCGCGCTGTCGGCGCCGGCGGCGAAAGTTTCGCAGAGCGCGCGCGCCTGTTTGGCGGTGAGGTGGGCCACCCTGGTCGACAGGGCCAGGCGAGCGGTCTCCTGGACCTCTCGCCGGTCGTCTCCCAACAGGGAAACGACAGTAGCGTCCACGGCGCCGTGCTGTGCGTCCGTCAGGACGAAGTGCAGTCTCGTTTGCAGGACGCAAGCCACTGCAGCTGCGCCGCGCCGGACCCTCCAGGACGACTGCGACGAGCACGCCGCGAGCACGGCGTTTATTACGCCGCCCACCGTAGTTGGGCCGTCGTCGGGGCTTTCCCCCTTCGGGCTGCGGACGGCGAGGGCAGCAGCGCTCGACAGGCAAGTGCCACGACCCATGCCCGCGACCTCCGCGTTGGAGTCGCGAGTGCACCGTAGAGCCACGGGCAGGAGAGCCACGAGGACCGGCAGGTATCTGACGTGGTCGCCTGTTGAAAGAACACACGAGGTGTAAAGGTACACGTTTGTATGTGTGGTGCGTTGGTCGAGCAAGACCCAACGCATATGCCACGCTACAGAGGTACTAGCGGTGCGCAATGGTTTATCGCCGTGATGGTCGTTTCCGAGAAACTCGCCGCACAGTCTTGTTCATTTGTGAGGAAAGGCCAAAAAAATGACCACGCAAACGTATCATCTGATTGTGCTGTCTGCAGTAGACCTTCCAGTACACAAATGAACAAGACACTCGAAGCGATCAGCGCACCTGCGCCTGCAGTCTGGTGAAGCCACTGCAGCACTGTTTCCCTCCGCAGCGATAGATGCTTCGCCGCACGACTAGCCGCCTCCTCTTGCTTGGCGGTCAGGGCGCCGTCTGACATGGCCATCGCGCTGGCGAGAAGCGCACTGTCCGCTTTCTCCTCTACGTCGGGTTCGTCCTGAAACGCGTAGGACAGGACACGACATGCGCCAGATAACGGCAAAGCCATGGCGTTGGGCAAAGAGAGACAAAGGGGAGCATGCGTGGGGCAAGAGAAGCATAGAAGCACTCGCGAAGCAATCGTTTGCACAGAACGGCGTGCTTCCACCAAGGGCACGCATCATTTGCTAGACGACGACGGGTGCAAGCCTGCGCAAACACATGTCTTCCCATCGTCCCGCCATAGACGATCTGGATTGGGTCGGGTCATCCGTGCCTGCCCAAAAGAGACCATTATCCCTCTTGCCCACACACACATGCACGCTAAAATTAATTTCACACAGAAAACAAAGGCGATTGACAAATTGGTAATTTCACCCCCTTGGGGCTCTAGAATGCACCGCACGCACCGCGACCGATAGCGCCGCGATTGCGCTTGCCACCTCTTGTTCTCCGTCCCCGCTATTGACTTGCTCGACCGTAGCCGCCTCGGCGATGATAGATTCCCGAACTTCGTCGGCCATGCCCGCGGCCCACGCAGAATCGGTGACATGCGTACACAAAAAGAGATTCCTGCAAGACGAGGGGGGTGGGGCGGAAGCAAGAGCAGCTTTGTAAGATGCGAAGCAGTCGAGGTGGTAAAAAATGAAAGCCTTCCATCGATACAGATCAAGAACAGACGTGACACGAACCACACCCTAGTAAAGGTCTAACCGCGACGGACAATCTTAATTGTATAGTCCGTGTTTTCTTCTTAACTCTACTGCAATAAACCATCTTAGGTCCCAACGCAGCACGATGTCACAAAAAAAACGTACCGTAGGGTAAGCCGTCGTAGCTCTTGCTTCAAAACCGTCGACAACGGAGGGCGTGTCATGTCCCTACCTGGCGATCTCCTCTCTGCAAGCCTTGAACGGGTGGTCGAGCCCCTCGACCAACAGCGGACACATCTCCTTGGCGATGCTCGCAGCTTTTTCTGATGGTGCTTGGCGCCCCGACAGCTCGATCATCACTGCTCCCAAAAAGCTCAGCCACGCCACCTGGGACAACAAAAAGTATATTGGCAAACAGGCACCGCCCAAACATGCCGATAATTGCTGTCTATAGGCCCTTGTCAAAGTAAATTGTTGCGCAAGCTCTCGTGAGGCACAACAAGCTTGCTTCTGTGCGCATGGAGAGCCGCCCCTTGCACGGTCAAAACTCTTCGATGGCGGTCCAACAAAGTCGGCGACATCGCTCAACACGCAGCGTTTCTCGATCCTGACAACATTTCGGTCAACGGCGACAGTAGGGACTAAGAACGGAGCGATATCAGTCTCCCAGAAATTGCACTCTACATGAATATACTTACGAGCACAGAATAATCGTCGCGTCCTTTGCCGCCGTCTTGCAGCACGACCTTAGCCCGTTCTACCACCATCGACACCAGGGGCTCACACCCCTCCGGAGTACTTCGGTCCAGAGCGAAGCGGATGGCGTCAGTCCTGTAATCGAGGTAAAAAACATTAAAGCGGTGGACAAAATCAGAGGGATGATATCTGGAGAGCGGACGTCCAACAACGACCTATATGCAGAACAGTGTGGTGGGGTCGTTGCGGGCACTTCTCAACGGGAACGGTGCACGGGGTAGTCGTGAAAACCACACCCACAACAAAAATAGCGTGGTATGCATACACCTACGAACGAATCAGGCCGACTGAAAACACGCGGGGGGGTCACCAACAAACTCACCAATCAAGACGGCCTTCAAGGCTAACCCCTTCCAGAGTTGTCTCCACGAACGGCAGGACCGTGTCCCGCAGCACCTCTTCGCCGCCGTTCCAGCCCTTGGGTCCGGCGAGGATGGCCAGCACACCCGCGGCCACTTCCGCAGCGGCGCAGTCAAACGAGCGCTTGTCTTCATGAGCCGTTTCCGCTTTCGCCGCCGTGGCTTCCTCCAACAGAATGCGAGTGCACCCTGCTCGGCCTTCGTCGCCGACCGCCGACACGACGGCGCTTACGAGGCTGGCGTTACGAGCCCAGAACAGGGGGGATCGCGCCGCGAACCGGAGTCGGGGGAACTGCAAACACAAACCGCAGAAGCCGCAGGGGGGGGGGGCGTGAAGTGGTTCAGGGGGAGCAGCAAAACAAGAGGGGTGACTGCAACACGCGACTTAAAACCGAGGCAAAACCCTACGTGCTGCAAGATCTGGTCGATGGCAAAGGAACATCTTCCAGGGTCCTGTTAAAATCTAGCGGGTGGTCCGTAAAGATCAAAATTCTTCTTCTTGTGATTGGCGGGAAATTCGGTGCAATGACGTCTGCTACGGGACCAAAGGAACACGTGCCTAACGCTCGACAGATCCAGCACAGATCTACAATATAACATAGACAACTTCACTCCCGGCCACAACAGCACGATTTACGTGGCAAGAAAATTGGGACGTACCAGCTCTCGGGTGTCTCCGCGCCCGGCATCCCGCAAGATCTCCTTAACCCCCAGACTCCACTGCTCCCCGCCAGTCGGCCCACCCTCCGTTGCCTGCTTCTGGTGATTGTACGCGAGCGCCGGGAGGAACGCGTGGAGAAACGCCTTCGAAGACAGAAGCCTGGACACGTCGACGGCCCCTGGTAGCGCCGGATCAAAGACGGCAAGCAGCCGTGTAAGCGCTCCGAGGGCGAGTCTCTGAAGAGGCTGCCCGTCGCCACCTGTTGACAGGCACTCGCTGTAGTATCGCCACACCGCCAATGGTGGCTGGACGGTAGGACGAATGAGATGCATGAGGCACCAAGAGGCAAGGAGCTGATAGCGCCAACCCCCGCCGGCGGCAGGGGCCGAGCCGTTGAGTGCCGCCAGACGTTCGAGCAGGCCACTGAGAAGCGCATCGTATTCTGACCGGTCCTGCTAGATCAAAATCAAGATCAGGCGCAGCAGAATAAGGAGGTGGCGGGCGGAACCAGGTTGAGCAAAGGGAAAGACGTACCAGTGAAAAAATACCTACTACACCCTGTGCGCGTGAACGATCACAGCAGACGGCTGCGGTTCCCTTGCCTGCTCTCAAATACTTCATGGAGTCATGGTATATTGCACTCTCGTCGACCGAGCACCGTTCTCAAGAAGCCCCACCGATACGGCGGTGGGCTAATCTGTTTGTTGTTGGGAAGTCAACCAGTGCAGTGAAACAGAGAGGTGCGATGTACTGTTGAAAAGGCAGGAATACCGCCGGGCAGCATCTTCATCTAGACTACACTTGGGTCTTTTCGGGGAGGGAACTCAGTAGCGTCTCACATCTTCCGTCACGAGCGGGTTCGACCCCCAGTTCGACACGTACGTCGTGAACAGGATGGTCACCCGCGCCGCAGCCTTCTCCTGCTTGTCCGTAGGCAGGCGCGCCAGCACGGACTGCGAATCGCAAAGGGCGAGCAGGAGAGACCTCGAGAGGCCCAACTTCGACACGACATGCCTCATGCTCCGATTCTGATGTAGCAAGTAGCACGCCCCGGTTAGCCTTCGGTGGGCCGCGTCCTCGCCAGCCCCGTAGTTCCCGTCCGGCTGGTCCCCAAGCGAAAGGCAGCTGATGAGCCCCGGAACGGCTTCACGAGCGAACCACGGAAACACGCCTCCAATGTTATTTACTCCGACTTGCGCAGCGGCTCGAACCATGGCGTATTCTGACGACGAGAGCGTCATAAGGGAAGAGAACAGCGCGCGGTACCTACCCAACACCGCTGACGCCGCGGGCCACGGAGCTCTTCCAGCGCCGGCGCTGCTGCCGCCGCTGCTTTCTGCCTCGTTTGGGACGTCCGTCAAAGAGTTGGCGGCGCTCTTGGCAGCAAAAGCCAGCGACCGAGGTGCAATGCCGAGTCTCTTCCAGTGCTGCACGTTGGCTCGGGCGACGACCATAGCTCGGGAACACGCCTGCACCCCGCCCGTACCTCCAAACTCAAGCGCGCGGCGCCCTGCGGAGGCGGCAGAGGTTTCACCGTCCGCCGCCGCTGCTTCAACGGCGAGGGTGAACCGCATCTTTCGCGCAGCATCTTGCAAGACGTCTCGCTGCTGAGACTTGAAGGTAGCGATGGCGGACGACTGTCTCCGAGCCTGGTGCGCCTTGGCCCCCCGCGTGCCAGCGATGCGTTGCGACAAGCGGACCGCTAGCTTGGCCGACTTGACGTCTGCAGGCCCCTTCTCTTGCGCACAAGCCTCCAGCGCAGCGTTCATGAAACTAGCGACTTCCGCACGCAACCCGGCCACCGTTCTGTACAGTCTTGGCCCATCCTTTGCGGCAAGCAAGCGCGAGAGGACCCGGCCACCTACCGCAAGGTAGACGTCGTCGCGAAGGAAGTCGCCTGACCCGTCGCCCTCGTCGTCTTCTCCCGGTGTACCGCGGTCTCCGAGCAAGCACACACCTCCCCGAAAGGCGTACTCCATTGTCTTGAGGTGCTCTCGCCAGACGCTTGCCTTGACCGCAGTTTGTCCGGCGGGGAGATCAGGCTTCGCCGCGCCACGCGTGCTCTCCAGCTCGGTCATCAGCTCTCGCATCGGTCGCTCCAGAAAGTCTCCCAGGAGCACAGCCGCAAGAGACAGGCCCTCCTGGTTGGGTTCGACCCACACAGTGTCGGCTTCGCCTGCGGGAAGAGGTTCACACAACCTGCGCCACTCCACAACGCTGTGGACGTGCGCCCATCGCGAAGGCGGCAACGAGCGCGTGTCGGCAGGCTTCAACTCGCACAGACCGAGCAGAGCCTTGCGCAGCAGCTTGCGTGCGCCCTTGCGGACCCTCTTGTCCTTGTGAGACACCCCGGCCGCAATCAGGCTACGAAGCGCAGGCCCATGAGGGGCGAGCGCGGCACCGGCTCCCCTCGCCAGCCCCGAGAGGAGTTGAAAGCGCCATCGCAGGAGTACGGGCGAGACGCCCGGCGATAACACGGGAGAGCTACTGGATATCATGCTAGGGGCGAGAAGGCCATCACACAACGCCGGGAAGAACACCGAAACGCTTTTCGCCGGCCGGGCGGAGGCCATCATTTCCACCACACCCGCGACATCCTTCTCGACGTTCGGGAGGGAGCGGTCAGTCACAAACCGGAGTACCTTGGCAGAGGCCATGTCCGCCGCGGGTTCATCCGCCATGGTAAACAGCTGCTCCGTGACCAACCTGATCAGACTGACGACGAATGCTTCGGTACCACCCCCGCCAAGCATGGCCGAAAGCATCCCTCCGTTGGCACCACCGCGTGTCATGGCATCCGCCACGCCCATCGTGTCGGAAGCAAGATCTCCTGGTTTCAGCTTGGAGAACTTATCTTTGTGGCGCAGAACCTCGAACAGCCGATCAAGGAAAGTAGCTGACCACTCCAGCATCACACCGCCTAGCCCTTCGCACGCTTCGTATAGCAGCTCGTGCTCATCCGTTCGACCTTCTTCGGCGGAGTCCAGCCACGAACACGGAGCAGGTTTCCAGTCGTCGAGAGCACCTTCAGAGTAACTGACGTATGCCACGACAAAGTCGAACGGGGACGAACGTGCCAGGCCAGCATCCGTATATTTAGGATCAGAACATTGCCTTCAATATACGCTCGGAAGAATGCGACACGCAACACATTTGAACCATAACCTACCACCCGCGGCGAGCCTGAATGCGTTGCGCCACGACAAACCTGGTGGGACTGCCCAGGACAGGAATCCAGCAAAGGATCAAATGATAGAGTTGAAGGGTCACAGACGTCTTGAACACATCGCTCGAGTCCAGGCCTGGTAGCGTGAGCTCCAGAATCGCCGGCAAGTACGGTGCCAGGTAGGGCCGCGGGTGCATAAGCGGGCGGAAGATACAGGTCATCGCGCGGATCGCTGCCGGAGCCTAGCGAACGGCAATAAGACAGCATCGGCGTATGAGAAAGCTGTGGGGAGAGAAGAGAGCGGGCAATGGCAAGCTGAGAACGGGGGACAAAACTGTCTTACCGCCGGGGTACGTGCTGGGTTGCCGCTGACCAGACTGAACCGTGCGAGTAGGCCAAAAAATATCAAGAGTCCACGTGAAGCTCACGTCCGTGCGACTGCTATGCATGTAAATCATATTGAAGAGGCACAGGCCCTTCGTCAAGACAGTTCGGACGGACGCCGCAGCGAGTCCATGCGCAAAGCAGAAAAAACAAATGAGCCAACCGAAGAAACGAAACTCTATGGACAGCAGTGTTCAAACCTGGTGTGTGTGGTTGATAGAAGCCACAGGGTCCAACGCCCGGAGGACTAGCTCCACTGCCGCAGGTGCCACCGTTTTCGGGCTCAGGGACGCCAGAGTCGCCAAGCACATGTTCGAAAGCGACCCCACAGAGGGATCCTTCGAGTAGACCATCTCGAGGACCAACGGCAGCAGGGCATCGATCACCAATCCGGCATCATCCTGAGTAAGCTCCCCGGGCGGGAGGGTGTGCCCTAGCTCCCGGAGAACATTCTCTCCGCCCACGCGAGCGGCCAAGCTCTTGAGCACGTAGTTGACCATCCACCCCATCTCCAAGGACCACCGACCACCGTTGCTGATGAGGTAGAGGGGTGTGGAGTGTGGGAGGGGGGGCGTACTCTCATGTTTTGCATGCCTTAGCGGTTAGACCACTGACCACACGTCCTCCAGAGGACGGAGCATTGTTCCCACAGGACCGATGACCATTGGCCAATCGTTCTTTTCTACTTTGCCAAAGGTGGCTCAAAAATGTCTTCCCTAGTCTATCTATCATAACCATATCCCTTCCCGCCTTTTCAACCCACCTCCTATGCCCCAGTACAGCTACCGTCTTCTCCTGGCTATTC